AGGGAGGTGAGGAGATGGTGAGGGGGCTGAGGAGATGGTGAGGGGGGCTGAGGAGATGGTGAGGGGGGTTAAGGAGATGGTGAGGGGGGCTGAGAAGATGGTGAGGGAGGTGAGGAGATGGTGAGGGGGGGCTGAGGAGATGGTGAAGGGGGCTGAGGAGATGGTGATGGAGGTGAGGAGATGGTGAGGGGGGCTGAGGAGGTGGTGAGGGGGGCTGAGGAGATGGTGAGGGAGGTGAGGAGATGGTGAGGGAGGCTGAGGAGGTTGTGAGGGGGGCTGAGGAGATGGTGAGGGAGGTGAGGAGATGGTGAGGGAGGTGAGGAGATGGTGAGGGACGTGAGGAGATGGTGAGGGAGGTGAGATGGTGAGGGGGGCTGAGGAGATGGTGAGGGAGGCTGAGGAGATGGTGAGGGAGGTGAGGAGATGGCGAGAGAGGCTGAGGAGATGGTGATGGAGGTGAGGAGATGGTAAAGGGGGCTGAGGAGATGGTGAGGGAGGTGAGGAGATGGTGAGGGAGGTGAGGAGATGGTGAGGGAGGCTGAGGAGATGGTGAGGGGGGCTGAGGAGATGGTGAGGGAGGCGAGGAGATGGTGAGGGAGGTGAAGAGATGGTGAGGGAGGTGAGGAGATGGTGAGGGAGGTGAGGAGATGGCGAGAGAGGCTGAGGAGATGGTGAGGGAGGTGAGGAGATGGTGAGGGGGGCTGAGGAGATGGTGAGGGAGGTGAGGAGATGGTGAGGGAGGTGAGGAGATGGTGAGGGAGGTGAGGAGATGGTGAGGGGGGCTGAGGAGATGGTGAGGGGTGTCTGAGGAGATGATGAGGGGGACTGAGGAGATAGTGAGGGAGGTGAGGAGATGGTGAGGGACGTGAGGAGATGGTGAGTGAGGTGAGGAGATGGTGAGGGAGGCTGAGGAGATGATGAGGGAGGTGAGGAGATGATGAGGGGGGCTGAGGAGATGGTGAGGGAGGCTGAGGAGATTGTGAGGGAGGCTGAGGAGATGGCGAGAGAGGCTGAGGAGATGGTGAGGGAGGTGAGGAGATGGTAAAGCGGGCTGAGGAGATGGTGAGGGAGGTGAGGAGATGGTGAGGGAGGTGAGGAGATGGTGAGGGAGGCTGAGGAGATGGTGAGGGGGGCTGAGGAGATGGTGAGGGAGGCGAGGAGATGGTGAGGAAGGTGAAGAGATGGTGAGGGAGGTGAGGAGATGGTGAGGGAGGTGAGGAGATGGCGAGAGAGGCTGAGGAGATGGTGAGGGAGGTGAGGAGATGGTGAGGGGGGCTGAGGAGATGGTGAGGGAGGTGAGGAGATGGTGAGGGAGGTGAGGAGATGGTGAGGGAGATGAGGAGATGGTGAGGGGGGCTGAGGAGATGGTGAGGGGTGTCTGAGGAGATGATGAGGGGGACTGAGGAGATAGTGAGGGAGGTGAGGAGATGATGAGGGAGGTGAGGAGATGGTGAGTGAGGTGAGGAGATGGTGAGGGAGGCTGAGGAGATGATGAGGGAGGTGAGGAGATGGTGAGGGGGGCTGAGGAGATGGTGAGGGAGGCTGAGGAGATTGTGAGGGAGGCTGAGGAGATGGTGAGGGAGGTGAGGAGATGGTGAGGGAGGTGAGGAGATGGTGAGGGAGGTGAGGAGATGGTGAGGGGGGCTGAGGAGATGGTGAGGGGGGCTGAGGAGATGGTGAGGGAGGTGAGGAGATGGTGAGGGGGGCTGAGGAGATGGTGAGGGAGGTGAGGAGATGGTGAGGGAGGTGAGGAGATGGTGAGGGGGGCTGAGGAGATGGCGAGGGAGGTGATGAGATGGTGAGGGAGGCTGAGGAGATGGTGAGGGAGGTGAGGAGATCGTGAGGGGGCTGAGGAGATGGTGAGGGAGGTGAGGAGATGGTGAGGGAGGTGAGGAGATGGTGAGGGAGGTGAGGAGATGGTGAGGGAGGTGAGGAGATGGTGAGGGGGGTGAGGAGATGGTGAGGAGGGCTGAGGAGATGGTGAGGGGGGCTGAGGAGATGGTGAGGGGGGCTGAGGAGATGGTGAGGGGGGCTGAGGAGAAGGTGAGGGGGACTGAGGAGATGGTGAGGGAGGTGAGGAGATGGTGAGGGGGGTTGAGGCGATGGTGAGGGAGGCTAAGGAGATGGTGAGGGGGGCTGAGGAGATGGTGAGGGGGGCTAAGGAGATGGTGAGGGAGGCTGAAGAGATGGTGAGGGAGGTGAAGAGATGGTGAGGGAGGTGAGGAGATGGTGAGGGAGGTGAGGAGATGGCGAGAGAGGCTGAGGAGATGGTGAGGGAGGTGAGGAGATGGTGAGGGGGGCTGAGGAGATGGTGAGGGAGGTGAGGAGTTGGTGAGGGAGGTGAGGAGATGGTGAGGGAGGTGAGGAGATGGTGAGGGGGGCTGAGGAGATGGTGAGGGGTGTCTGAGGAGATGATGAGGGGGACTGAGGAGATAGTGAGGGAGGTGAGGAGATGATGAGGGAGGTGAGGAGATGGTGAGTGAGGTGAGGAGATGGTGAGGGAGGCTGAGGAGATGATGAGGGAGGTGAGGAGATGGTGAGGGGGGCTGAGGAGATGGTGAGGGAGGCTGAGGAGATTGTGAGGGAGGCTGAGGAGATGGTGAGGGAGGTGAGGAGATGGTGAGGGAGGTGAGGAGATGGTGAGGGAGGTGAGGAGATGGTGAGGGGGGCTGAGGAGATGGTGAGGGGGGCTGAGGAGATGGTGAGGGAGGTGAGGAGATGGTGAGGGGGGCTGAGGAGATGGTGAGGGAGGTGAGGAGATGGTGAGGGAGGTGAGGAGATGGTGAGGGGGGCTGAGGAGATGGCGAGGGAGGTGATGAGATGGTGAGGGAGGCTGAGGAGATGGTGAGGGAGGTGAGGAGATCGTGAGGGGGCTGAGGAGATGGTGAGGGAGGTGAGGAGATGGTGAGGGAGGTGAGGAGATGGTGAGGGAGGTGAGGAGATGGTGAGGGAGGTGAGGAGATGGTGAGGGGGGTGAGGAGATGGTGAGGAGGGCTGAGGAGATGGTGAGGGGGGCTGAGGAGATGGTGAGGGGGGCTGAGGAGATGGTGAGGGGGGCTGAGGAGAAGGTGAGGGGGACTGAGGAGATGGTGAGGGAGGTGAGGAGATGGTGAGGGGGGTTGAGGCGATGGTGAGGGAGGCTAAGGAGATGGTGAGGGGGGCTGAGGAGATGGTGAGGGGGGCTAAGGAGATGGTGAGGGAGGCTGAAGAGATGGTGAGGGAGGTGAGGAGATGGCGAGAGAGGCTGAGGAGATGGTGAGGGGGGCTGAGGAGATGGTGAGGGAGGGGAGATGGTGAGAGAGGCTGGGGAGTTGGCTATGGAGGTGAGGAGATGGTGAGGGAAGAGGGATAGTGAGTGAGTCAAGGAAATGGTGAGGGAGAGGAGATGGTGAGGGAGGTGAGGAGATGGTGAGGGAGGTGAGGAGATGGTGAGGGGGGCTGAGGAGATGGTGAGGGGGGCTGAAGAGATGGTGAGGGAGGTGAGGAGATGGTGAGGGGGGCTGAGGAGATGGTGAGGGAGGTGAGGAGATGGCGAAGGAGGTGATGAGATGGTGAGGGAGGCTGAGGAGATGGTGAGGGAGGTGAGGAGATGGTGAGGGGGGCTGAGGAGATGGTGAGGGAGGCTGAGGAGATGGTGAGAGAGGTGAGGAGATGGTGAGGGGGGCTGAGGAGATGGTGAGGGGGGCTGAGGAGATGGTGAGGGAGGCGAGGAGATGGTGAGGGGGGCTGAGGAGATGGTGAGGGGGGCTGAGGAGATGGTGAGGGAGGCTGAGGAGATGGTGAGAGAGGTGAGGAGATGGTGAGGGAGGTGAGGAGATGGTGAGGGAGGTGAGGAGATGGTGAGGGAGGTGATGAGATGGTGAGGGAGGGGAGATGGTGAAGGAGGTGATGAGATGGTGAGGGAGGTGAGGAGATGGTGAGGGGGGCTGAGGAGATGGTGAGGGAGGTGATGAGATGGTGAGGGAGGCTGGGGGGATGGTGAGGGAGGTGAGGAGATGGTGAGGGGGGCTGAGGAGATGGTAAGGGAGGTGAGGAGATGGTGAGGGAGGCTGGGGGGATGGTAAGGGAGGTGAGGAGATCCTGAGAAAGGTACTGTATAGAGGGAGGCAATAGAACGAGCATCCACCATAAAGATGCATCATCATCACCCACATCGTCACCATCTTCGCTTAGGCGTGCGCCTTGTGCGTAAGGCGACCTCTGCTGCTTCTAGAACTCCGGGGTGGGTGCCCATCGCAGAGAGTGAACGTTGTTGCATTTACAAACACTGACTCGTCGTCCGCCAGCGCCTCGTAGTCGAGCTATAAATACTGCAACGCGTAACGTGGCGGAGAGGGAGTGGAGAGGGAGAGGAAGGGAAGAGGGGAGAGAGAGAGAGCAGAGATGGATTTGAGATCGGGAGGGAAGAGAGGGAGAAGAGACGAGTGAGGTGGGAAGAGAAAGAGTGGGCTAGGTGAGAGAGAGAGAGGTGGGACAGTGATGGATGAGAGACGTGAGTGAGTAGAGAGAGTAGAGAGGATGGAGAGATGATCATGGAGGAGAGCGTGGGAACATATCGGTGGCAGGGAAGGGGGGTAAGGAAGTGCGGAGAAGTGAGAAGGAGAAAGCCGAGAGGGGAGTGGGAGAGGCCAGAGGAGGAGATGTGCAGTGGAGGGGTGAGGCAACAGAGGGAGAGAGATAAAATAAGAGATACGGGAGAGAGAGACATGGAGTATGGAGAAGAGAGGGGGTAGAGAGAGAGAGGGAAGGGTAAGGAGAGCAGAGCGAGAAATATTTTGTTAAATCTTTCATTTAAAAGCGGGGGGGGGGGGGGTTACATAAAGCAAAGCATTGAAAAAAACGGAAAAAAACGAAATGATGAACGAAGCAAAGTGCCGATTCCACCGAGCATCTTCTTGTTTCCTCTGATCTTCAAAAAAACAGAGAGAGAGAGAGTGGGAGGGGGGGAGCGCGGAGACGCAGGGAGAGGAGAGGTAAAGCGATGAGACGGAGTGTAGAGAGAGAGGAAGAGAGAGAGAGAGACGGAGTGTAGAGAGAGAGACGGACTGTAGAGAGAGAGAGACGGAGTGTAGAGAGAGAGGAAGAGAGAGAGAACGAGCGCATTGCTGGCGCAGGGTGCGTCAGCCGTGGCTGGAGACAGAGCGAGAGGGATAAAACGAGGAGTGCCGCCGATCATCATCATCATCACCCTCCTCTTGTGCCCCTCGTCATCTCCCACATCATCAGCTGCTGCTTCGTCGTCGTCGTCAGCTCCCCGCTCCTCCCATCGCACGTCCCCACCCACCAGCGCGAATATGAGCAAGCGATTGGTGTCCGTGGATTATGAAGTATTCGGACGGGTTCAAGGTAAAACTGATTATTTATGTTGTTGTTTTTGCCACTTGTGCCGAAGAGTTGTGATCGCGTCGATATAATGGCATCGATTCATTTTCCCGGGAATTCTCCCGTGGGATTTCCCCCCTTGCGACAGCCGCCCGTCGGCGGGGGCCATCGACCCAGACGCGGCCTCGAGGGACGAGGCCGTCCGACCTCGGTGTGCACTTTTGCGCAGCCACGGGTTTGAGGTTAAATGATAACTTCAGTCATCATCATCATCATCGTGATAATAATCATCATCATCATCATTGTCGTCATTAAGATGAGCTTCAGCACCGTCATCATCATCAACATGATCAGCAAAACAAACATCACCACACGCACAAACTTCAGCAACAAACGTTAATCAATAACACCGTGTGGCCTTAAACGAATAAAAACATATATTAAAGGCGATGGCCCTTCATTGCACAAGAGGGCCATTGCACGAAACGTCTCCAGCTGCATATTGTTTTCCTTTGAAGGCCACAGTGTTCTCATTGACGAATGTGGTGAGGTTTTTTTTTGTATTAATTGTGCTCTGCACCACTGCCCACTCAGCAGTACTGCCGCTGCATCATTGCACGGACATTAACGATCAGCATTTAAAACGCAATCAACCCCAGCAGCAGTGGCCTTAAAGCACGCACGTTTAGCCATGCTAGACCCTGATTAGCTCTCGTCAGATATCGGAGGCTAAGCTGGATTTGAACCTGGTTAATGCAGTACTGGGATGGGGGAGTGCATGGGAATAATCGCTGTTGTAAGCTTTAGGCTGGTAGGTGTCCTCAAAGGATGGAACCAAGGCAATGTATTTAAATACATCTGTGCGGAGCTTTGAATGTCAAGCCGTAGTGTGCATGGTGGGATTATCCCATGATAGTACTCTGGTATTCGCTCACACGAAGCCAAAACACTCGAAATGAAGATTAATTGTCCAAACATCCCAATGTGGCAGGACCCTCTTGACAACGTATCTTGAGACTCGGGTGAAGCTTTCCTGGGTTATTCATCGTTACAGTATGAATCATCATCAACAGCAGCAGCAGCAGCATGATCGGCATCATCCACAGCGTTGTCATCGTTAACAAACATCGCACCCTTCAATCGTTCGGGAAAGCCTCACGGTGTCTCAAGACAAATTTTAGGCGGGTCCTTCGTCATCGAGCTCCGCAAGGCCAACACAATTATTTAACAAAATTAAAACCCGAATTTTTGTTGTCATATTTCGTGCCGGAGGGACACGCGAGTATCCGGAGAAAACCTCACTCAAAACGAGGGGCCACCACCACCGCCGCCGTCTGCATGGTGACCCACGTCTGGGTGCTCGTGAACAAGGGAAGAGGGGGGTAGTCAGGGTGGTGGTGGCGGGGGGGGGGTCGAGCTATTTCGGGTTGGTTAGACCTGCAATGGCCCTTAGCCGCGGGGTTTTGTATTTATAGACGGACCAGTGGCGGTGGTGCTGTTGGGCCAGATCTGTCCAAGCGAGTAGGCACCTCGTGCAGGGCGTCCATACTAACGTGGAATGTCCACCTCTGGATATGGAGGAAGTAACACGCGGCGTAAGCGAATGATGTGGTGATGCTGCCGCTGCTGCTGCTGCTATGTTGGTTGGGAAGTGATGCGCAGGCAACAATTAACGCAACAAAATCAACACATTCGTCAATAATACTGTGGCCTTAAACGGGAAAACATATATACACCGTAAGCGACGTTTTGGGCAATGGCCCTTCTTCATGGCATATTAAAAATAACCATTATCCGAAGAAGCGCCATTGCACCGCTGGATGAGGGCCTCCCCAACGCCATGCGGGTTGTGCGGGAGGAGGGGGGCGGGTTATTTGACCATACTTCACCGCGCTGGTCAGTGCGGGTTTGGTAAAGGGCGGGAAGCAATAATATACTGTAAGTGGGAGCACAGACAGTACGATACATCAATGGATTTTTGTCTCGATGCCCTCTGATTCCCACCACGTAGAAACTCCCCCCCCCACCCCTCGCATCAGCCTGGCGCAGTGCACCGGTGGTAGTATTGTATTTTGTGACTTTTTTCGCACCGTACGTAGCCAAGGGCGCGAATCAGAGGTGCGGCATTAGACTCGCGCTGTGATTATGTAAGAATCACCGCTGATGCTGTAGTGCAGTCGTAGCTTGACCTCAGCAAAGGTGCGGATTGAGCTTACGGCGCGTGCGTCGATGGGTGCTTGCTGACGTCATTGTGTCTGTGTCTTCCCCGACAGGAGTGTGCTTCAGATCGGTGAGTTGGTTGTTCATTTCTTACCAAGGCCGTAATTATAATATACATTGGCTGGGGGGGGGGGACACACACATTCCCCCCCCCCATATTCAAATGTCCCCCCCCCAATATATTGCTATAAAAGTTTGCTATGCTATGTAAATAAAAACAATTTGCTAAACCTTGGCCACAATATCTGGACTTGTCTTCATGTAAATCAATGCATAAATGTATGTTTATATGATTGTGGTTATGGTTGTACTTTATTAATCCCTAATCTCTGCCATTACATACTATGAAACAAGAAATGGTAAAAAAAAAAGTAAAAACAGAGTCATGTAATACAATATATTATTAGACATTGTAAAAAATAGTAAATGTTTTTATATTTTAGGCAGGAAATTAGTTTTCAAATTTAGATATTTTTCTGGGTTGGGACCACCAGACACCCTGGAAGATTTGGTCCCCTCCAATGTTGACTCCATGGCTACGGCCTTGTCCCTTACACTCTCACGCGCGCGCCCGTGTGCGGAAAGTACGGGGAGCGGTGGCGCGGCGGTTAGCGCTACGCTGCGCTACGAACCCGGCTACCCGAGCTCGATTCCCGTTCTCGGCCAACACCGGTGGCGATTATCTGAACCGGCGCTGGGCCACACCCTAGGTCAAACTCTCAAATGTTTACCTGGTGTAATAGGGTAAACGTTTCCACGAGGGAGACAAAGGCGGCCGGGCGCGTTGCTGGCCACCCCATCCCCTTGCGTACCATGGTCGGCCTTCATAGGTGCTCGCTCACAGCACTTGCCCCAACAGTCTCTATACGGGGGGGGGGATCTTTGTCTGTACAACACGTGTGGTCTCCGCGTCTCCACGTGGCCGGTGTTTTGCCGCACACCCCCACCCCCATGTGCCCGCGCAGTACACGGAGGAGCAGGCGAGGAAGCTTGGGCTGGTGGGGTGGGTGAAGAACACCCCGGCGGGCACCGTGGTGGGACAGGTGCAGGGCCCCGAAGACAAGCTGCAGGCCATGTGAGTTTCGCGCCCCACCTCCCCCCCATTGCGAGTAGTTGCAGCCCGTTTGCTGGTAATAATTTGTCGACGAGTATATATTTTAAAAATATCTCTTCGGGAGTACTGGAGGAGAGCGAGACGCGTGGGCTTAGTAGTCACGGCCATAGCGAGAGGTGGTTGTTGTTACTCGATGTGTGAATGACACCGAGGGCAAACACTAGTTTTTTGGTAGCCCCGCCGATTGTTGAACTTCTTTAGCACCGTATGTGGCCCACCGTGCTTATCGGAGGTGCGGGGGAAGGTCAATCTAAACACAAAAAAGTAGTTTTAAAGAAATGAGTTTGAAATATAGGTTTGAAAGCGTTGTGCGATTATGATTACAGTAATGTTCTGTCGCGGTAATCGTGTTGGTGCTACGTGGTCAGTAGAGGGCAGTCCAGAAAAAATACCATTGTACTGCAGTTCGATGTTCCCGCGTCTACGCTCGCAAGCCTGAACAAACCTGCACTGCCCAGTTGTGGTGAAGAATGGTCTTAATTGCCCTCACGATCAGCAATGACCGTGGATTGGCGCGCAGAGGCTGCGAATAATTTAAATGACAAAACCTAACGGTGACCAATGTATGTACGCAGGAAGAGCTGGCTAAGCAACGTGGGCAGCCCCAGCTGTCACATAAAGCGCACCGTCTTCAGCAACGAGGGGGAAATCACAGCGCAGGACTTCAAGAGCTTCACCACGCGCTACTAGACGCCAGCCAGCGAGGAGGTGGGCGTTTGGCGGGGCTGGTGGGAGAGACGGGGAGGGATATACCTCTGCAAAGGGGAAGCTGGAGGAGGGCATCGAGGTGGCGAGTTCGGCAAGGGTGAAAGTACACACGTGGTGTAATCTAATCGAGGTGTGCAGGGGTGTTGGGCAGACATCTTTCGCGGAAAATGACTACTCGAATTCTCACGCGGGAAATTCAGTTCAGCCACCCAAGTAGTGAAATTATTAAGAACGCGGGATATGGAGAGGATTTAAGAAACTTGCACCGTTTCAAATGCCCAGTGTGGAACGGCAAACTTTTTACTGCAAGTTCAATGTACCTATCATGACTACCACAGCGAGTCTTTTGTGGAAATAAGACATCGCACCCACTCTCTTACGTACGTTTAGTATAACCCATCAACAGGGTCGCAGTGCCACAATGCTGGTGTACCATTGGTGTCCTCCAGCCAGGCAGTTGCTTTCGTAAGCAGCTGTTTGGAGCACTCCTTCCGATATTAGGAAGCCACTGGAGCTATGCACTTTAAAATCTAGTGAAAACACATTTCTTTTAAACTTTTTGTGTGTAGTTTGTCCTTCCCACCGCACCTCCGATTAGCACGGTTGGGTATATACGGTGCGTCCCCCTATGCAACGGTTGGATGTGCGGCAGAATAGCGAATGGTTTTGCTTTCAGTCTCATTTTACAAACTGCATTGCCCATGTGATGGAAGCGCATGCATGCTTACGTTTGGTAAAAACAAATGTGAAGAGACCGAATTCCAATTTTAACTTCAGGTCTACCTTGTATAATAAAGAGACAGCGTCGTCTCAAAAGGGCTTTCGCCTGGTTAAATGATTCGAGCGAATGATAATTATTACGTGCAGCTGCATTCGATGCAGGCAGCCGAGATGCTTAATTATAATTATGTATCCCTTTGCGACAGAAACGATGCCAAGCTTGCTTGTTAATAAAAGTGGCTTACACAACGGTGTCAGGTTTCAGGATTGTTGATTTGTATAAAATTTTTCCATTTCAGAATTCAGCATTCGTGAACAATGAGTTATTTTGTCAATTTACTGCTGGATGAAGGCCTCCTACATGTCATTTCACAGGGTTTGTTTGACCATACTTTTGCCAAGCTGGTCAGCGAGAGTTTGTTGATGGCAGCTGTAGCTAGGAATCCAAACCCAGTTTGGCAGATTCACAGCGCAGTGCAAAACCCACGACTAAGCCACTGCCAGCTACCCCATGGATAATTAACCTTCACTAAATCTGTCGGCAATTGTAGGTAAAATGAAAACATGTTCAAAAAGCAGCAGAAAACGGTCAAGTTTATTTGTATGAAATGAACATTAAGCTTTTAGTCATCTGAGTGTACAATGCATTGTTTTGTACAAAGTTCTTGCTGATGTGTTTTGGCAGAGCTAAGAATGAACTCTTGAGACGATGGGGATGAGATTACGCTTGAATTCCAACATCATCTGTGATCTCCGATCTATATAAATAACGGCAATTGCATACAACATTAATTCACTCAAGCAACAGCCATTTGAACAAGCACAAAGTTGGTCCATCGGATAGATGAACGATAACCACGTTTCAGATGTCGAGATTTAACAAGCTGGGAAAGCAGTTGTGATGTTTTGTTTTATCGGAATGGTTAAATTCCACAGAACTGGGCTTTGAGTCTACATCTGCAGATGTGGTGAGCCTCACTTTATCGAGGCCATGATGCTTGCAACACCTGGAACAAATAAAAAACACACGCGCACGCAGTGGCATCATTGCAACGCAGCTTTAGACGTAAAAAGTCTTAACCACATGTTTTGCTTAACCAATGGGATTAGATCCAGTTGTGTGGATATCATTATTAGATGTTAGTGCTGAATATATTTTTTTCCCTTCAATTTGAAGACGCCCCATGATACGTATTTACACGAGAGGCAAACGTTGTATACGCCCTGCAAAGAGCTTGTCGCTTTTCATTTTAAAGAGTTATTTTAGTCAGCCATTCCAAATTGAGTGAAAATCAAATATAATGCGAGTTTATTTATTGTGCTGTCATTGGTGACTTGCTGAGACCATCAACACACGACACTTGGGAACCCAGTTTAATCACCATCGACTCAATCCCTGATTTAAATTCCAGACCTCAGCGGTGCTGCCTCAGCATATTTCAGAGTATAAGCCCCCCGGGCCACCTCCTATCATGTTAGCGCCTTTATCAGCTGGCCGGATTTCTCTGACAACAAGAACCTCTTTTGTGGAAGGCTCCAGCTGCCGACGTTCAGACATCGCCCTATGAACTCACTCTCAAAATCGATCTTCTCCACGATGTTCTTGGGCTTCACCGTCTCCTCCTGGTTCGCGATGTAGATGGTCCCTGGCTCTCCCTCGTTCCAGCCATACTTGCTCATCCACACATTGAGTTGGCCGTCTGTGCGGGAGTGTGAGAGTGCACGAGTGTACGTGTGCGCGCGTGGTGGAGCGAGGAGGTGGCGGCGGAGACAGTCAGCTCAGATGTGGGCGTACTCTAGCACTCTATTAGCGAGGCTAAGATGCTCGCGGTAGTAGTGGAATGAATATCGTTTGCCGGCCATTTTAAAGCGGCAAGCCTCACGTGGCCGCGGGCCATATGAAATAAAGTCACAGGCTGAATGCGGCCCATGGTGCCGTAGGTTCCATCCACCCCTGCGTTAATTTCTGTCATGAAACATGAAAGAGATTCTCCACCCATACGGTTCACCACCTGGGTCGATGTGAACAATGAGTGAGTAGGGAGACCTCGTGAAAACCTAACCCCGTACCTGTGAGTCCGCCGAGCATGTCCGAGAGCAATCGCTTGCCGATGCGCTGGTACGTGATCCCCACCACGTGGCAGATGACTGCAGGACACGCGCAGCGAGACAACAGAGTTCACAAGGGCCAGCCACTGGCCAGCACCAGCATATACTGGCTATACGTACCAGAGTTCCAGCGCTTTGGAGGCAAGGGTTGGTGGATCACGCAGATAATAATGAAACCCCTACCCCTACTGCGCCTTGCCATTTCCAGAAGGAATTACAGCGAGCAGATTTTTGACCCATCCGTGTGGACCTTGATTGTTCCTGTGTGAGACTTCAATGGGCACTCTGGTTTCCTCCCACATACCAAACGTGCCCTTCAAAAGGAATTGGCCGAACATGTCAATGCAGGATCCTGTTTAAAGTCTTCAAACTGAACGAGGCTTGGATTAATAAATGGTGTTAATTATACAATACACATTTCCATAAGTTGCTTACAATGTGTCATCAAGTCACTCCAGACCACATTTCAGTTTATTAAGATTCAGTGTAATGCTGAAGGCTTTGAGAGCCAAACTGGAGCAACTTAACGACGTTCCTAAGAGTTGCAGGAGAAACATCACAAACCATCCTAAATAGCTGCCTTGTTTAAGTCATCACACAAAGAAGGTGTGTCAATGTGTTTTAATACGCACATTTTCTTATGGAGTCTTCAAATCCGGTTATTCCATCGACCAGTGTTTCGTCCAGTTCCGTCTTCGGGGGAACAAGTAGGAAGGCATTTGCGGCACAAATCGTGACACACAAAAGTAGCGTGCAGTATTAATGAGACTGAGAATACGATAGCATCCAATTGCTGGAGAAGTAAGTAACCACAGGTGTACCGATGCATCGATTAATATCGACAATTAAACTCACGAGCCATGAATCTCGCACATTTTAAAAAGTTTTTGTTGTAATGTATTCACATGGCTGCTACGTTCAACACAATGTAAATTATTCTGAATCACAACAAAACATAGGCAGTAAAGTGTTCCAACTCTCATCATTAGCCATGATCTATGCTCAGCTGGATAAAGGCTGTGACCGCTTCTCAGTCTTGTGATGCAACAATCTATCTAGCGCAGAGGTCGGCAACCAAAATAGCAACCAGCAATTTTTTTTCCGAATTCGGTAAAAAATCTCGAACATTACAAGAGCCGCAATGCACGTGAACACGAGACGGTGCTCCTTATCAAATAACGTCCTTAAAGAGCCGCATGCGGCTCCGAAGACAGGTTGCCGACCCCTGATCGAGCGCCTACACGCGAGCCGATTTCATTGCTCACACTGGGTGACACACCCTTGGAGAGCGGTCCACCTCAACTCACCCAAAAGTTCTGAAAGCGGCAGGTCTCCAGGAGCTCTCCAAGAAGCAGGATCCTTCCCAGCTGCTTATCTTCCAACTGCTTCACCTCGGTCAAGGCTCAATCGCAGCAGCAGCGTCCATTAAGTTGTCCTCAACTTTATCCCAACTGTCCTAACAGCGTCATGTCATGAGACGAACTCTCAGAGAGCTGCACCCTTCGAGTTAGAGAACTGATCACCGAAGCGGATATTCCTGGATTACCTCAGAGATTCATTCCTTCAAGGTGACCTCTGTTCCACAAAGAGGCAGGACTTTGACACGCCACCATCGATAATGTTTATCGCATGACAGTGAAACAGATATTTTTAATTCTTAGAAATTGTTTTTTTTATTAAGTTAAAATGTTTTTTGTGAGGTCATTGTTAACCGGGTTGAGACCTTCAACCTAACTATCCTTAATAATCTACTTTATTCACAGGAGGCGGAAACTAGGATTTAAACCCAGAACCTCAGCGGTGTTGGCTCAGTGTTTCTGACAAGCTAATAGTACCCCCAGCCACCTGGTCCTCACTGTTAGTACAATCACTATGGATACCAGCTGCCAGTGATAAAACTGTATTCTCACTTGAAGCGATTCAACGGTCTTAGCCCGGTCACACAATGTGACGTGCTTCTCTGCCGCTTCCATCTCAAACGTGAGCACTGCTCTCCCGTGACGTCAATCCACCCGGCACATCCACCTCGACAAGGATACATGGACCTGGTCGATGAGGCACTTGCAGAGCGTAAAGTCGGTGTGCGGGAGGTTGGTGAGTGCCTTCAGCAGGATCTGCGCTGTCACGGACGTCTGGAAGTAGGCCGGGTTGAACTGGTACCTGCAGTGCATGCGGGCACATGCGGGCACGCGTGGCGTTGTCACGTTAACCGTCCGCACGGTAAATTCGCGGAGCCAAAACGGAGGCTGCCATCTCTCCGCAAGGCTGCCCATCAGTCCAGTTACGGTGATCCATTTCACAGGGGTGAGAAACTTGTTAATTAACATTTGGCACACCATAGAATGAGTGTGTTTATTTCAGGCATCAAGTGATGAACAGATTCAAGTTAAATTGAGTACGCTCATGATGCATGCATCGCATTGTGCAAGGGAATCAATTATTTATAAAGTATGCATGTTATTATATTCCATTAGATTTTAACAAACTTGGAGTTCTCATGTATTCAAATTAAACATACATTTTAAACCATACAAACAGGCTTCGAACCCAAACTGCAACCTGTCCCTAGCCCGACCACTAATCCAAATGATCTAACTCCTAACAGCTCTCCTCCTAGTCCTGACACTAACCCAAACCCTGGGTTACACAGATCACACGTCTGTTCACAGTGCAGTGCGAGGAGCTACTCACAGTTTCAGAACCGCCAAGTTAGCCTCCAGGTCGTAGGCGTTCTCCTGCGCCTGTGTCTCCACGTACCGCTCCAGCGTTCCCAGGTTCTCTGGGTTGTACCTGCCCCAGGATACACCACACAGAAAGATTCACCGTGGTGTTTTTTGTGGAGTGTTGGGGCAAGCGTTATCAGCGAGCACCTATTAAGAGAACACGGCATGCACAGGCACACCAACCAACGTCATGCACACGAACATGCAAGGTCATTTTTTGTCAATCCACTGCGGGTTGAGGGCCTCAACACCGTGCGGGTCGTTGTGGTTGAATAATTGACCAAACGTCATCACGCAGGTCATTGCGGGTTGGTTTAGGCGGGGAGCACAGACGTTGGAATGCGGTACTGTACAACATATATAGAGCTGCACGTGTACACGTGAAGAGTGTGAATACTTGTGGTTTTACTTATCCCATGGGA